CAAGTAGCAAACACTTGCTACAGATGTGGTGTCCACCAGTTCCCACAGACCACAGTTGCAACGTACCACCTCCCAGCCATCTCTATTCCATTTGATTAATTCATTTGGATTTTAAATATTTTAAAAGTGAATTTCCTAACTGTGCACTTCAGATGTAATTATGTCTCCTAACTTAAAGCACTTGGCCGATCAAGAGACACAGAGGAAATGCCACCAATTATCTACCTGTGTGCTTATGACATCATATTTTGTCCATGACAGGTAGATACAGGTTGAAGGGGGTCCTCTGCCACCACTGGCCTTCTCTCTCTCTCTGTTTCTCTCTCTCACACACACACAAGTCTGCTGTCCATGAGCTGGGCCTACTCCTTTGCTGCTGGTTTTGATTTCTGACCCCCACAGCCTGTCTAAAACAAGCCCTGCACCCCCACCTCTCTGTTTTAGAAGCACAGGATCCTCCCCAGGTGCTGGTGACTGTTTACAGCTCCTCTCTCCTGCTCATCTCTGGTAAAGGAAAAGGGAAAACTCATTCATAAACTATGTTCCCAAGCTTTCATCTCTCCCACTGAAGGAAACTTCCTCCCAGTGGTTCTCTGTATATTTGTTTTGTATTTGTAGCATTTTATGAGCAACGATAAATTATAGGCTGCTATAAGATTTGCTTCACTCCATTGCACAGCCTACTTTTACCAACCAGAGTATTTCACTGTAGGAATACAGATTCTCAAGTGAAATTGCTGTGCTGAGCAGGAATGCAGTGATGTTTGCAGACTGGAGTAGGAGTTTACGATTGCTCTTTATCAGACACATGGTTTTAACAAAGAGCAAAGTAGTACAGATGTGGTATATCAGAGATTAAAACCTGTCTCTTTTGATGCTTTTATGAACTTCAGTTTGACAAACAAAATGATGGGGAGACAGAGCCCAAGACTGCATTAACTGCAGAGAGAGAGCACTGCAAATGAAATGCAGCCCTACTGTAATGTAGGAAATGCTGTTGGAGTGCAGTAAGACAATAAAGGTAGGGTAATATTTATCAAAGTTAAAGACAATAACTAAAATAATAATCAGGAAACAATTACAGCATGAGGGAAACTAGCTAGAAATGTTAAAATGGAGAAATAGCAACAGTTCCTATAGCTAATTAAAAGGCAAAGTAAGTTGTGTTGGGTGACAATGGGATGTTATTGGTAGATAATAGGGAAATATTTGTTGAAATGCACAAATATTTTGCTTCTGTCTTCACTATCGAGGATACAAAAAACATAACTGTAAATCAAGAAGTGGAAAGCAGAGGGGAATTTGGTGAAATTCCAATCACCAGGGAAGTGACACTGAGCAAACAGATGATGCCGTGGGCTAATAAATCCCTGGCTCCAAATGGGCTTCGTTCCAGGGTCTCTAAGGAAGTGGCTAATAACATAGGAGATGCCTTGTCCTAATTTTATTAAATTTCCTCAATTCAGGAGGGGTTCCATCAGACTGGAAAGTCTATTCAAGAAGGGAGGGAGGCAGAAAACAGGAAAGTAAAAATTGATTTTAAAACCTTCCCCGTGACAGACATCAAGCTAAACGGCCTATAAAGTGGTCCTAGCAAGACCCTTGGAAAAACTTGGGAAAATGGAGAAGAGTCAATGTAGTTTTTAAATAATTATTTAGTGTTCTTTGAAGGAGTAACTCATGCTGAGGACATTTGAGGCTCATGGGTTCTTTTTTGGATGATATATGATTGTCGCTGCTTGGCCAGCATCTGTTGCTAATCCTTGACATTTTTGGTTGAAAATAGTGACAGAAAGGAATGAGAGAGAAAGAGAGAATTGGGGGAGGGGAAGTGTCAAGGCACAGAAATGAGTGAGAGCTAGAAATGAAGGAGAAAGACAAGAAAATAACAGTGTTCCCATTAGGAACAAAAACAAAGTTGCTGGAAAAGCTCAGCAGGTCTGGCAGCATCTGTGAAGGAAAAACAGAGTTAACGTTTCGGGTCCGGTGACCCTTCCTCGGAACTCATTAGCACAACCACTATCGAAAGACTGCTCCCTGTGTTATCACCTCTGAAGTAACATGGCTAAATATCCACTGCCTTAATGACACCTCTGTAAGTGGAAGCAGTATTTTAATGTCTGTGTAGCATTTTGGGATTCCCATTGTCATCAAAGGTTCTGTATAATTGCAAATCTTTCTTTTTACTGTGGAGTCTTTTAAATGGAAAAATGGTGGCCATTGAACCAAACTTCCATATAAAAGATATCAGAGTTACTGAAAAACAACAAATGCTGGCGATCACAACGGGTCAGGCAGCATCCATGGAGAGAGAGTGAGCTAACGTTTCGAGTCTAGGTGACTCTTCATCAGTGAGAGTTCTCTTCATTCTCTTTCTTGGCTGACATTAAGAAAACTACTTTGGGGCTTTGTTTTTGTGTTGGCATTGTCCTGTTCCTCAGTTTGTTTAAAATGTTTATTTTTGCAATTTCTTTGCTGTTTTAACTACAACAATGGAGGGTGTGGATTTAAATTTTTGCTTCAATCTCTAATGTGCTGTGGATTGGCTTTGAAGTTGTGTATTATAGCAAGGATCAGATAACAGCATGGAGCGGGTAGTTCGTTTTGTGAAACAATCTTGAGACAAAGAGGAATGCAATTATAATTGTGTCCCCGTGTCCAGGAACAGTAATCCCTCCAAACGGGCGTTTCTGGTCATGAAGGTCACCCTGTGCTGAGTTTTTACTGGTGAGGGTCCTTTCACACAGCTTTAGGGAATCTCTGCTGCTTAGGCCTGAGAGCAGTCAGGGAACACTTAAACCAACAATTAAACTTCAGGAAATTTCTACATGTTCGCAATGGAGGCCTAGCTGCCAATGGGATACACCACAGGTCAAAAGAGATTTGTAAAAACATGTATCTCTGTTCAAAGAACAGCAGCTTCAATTTGTTGGTAACAGTAATTTAAAATCCAGGAAAATATGTAAGCTGATCTACACCAGCAAAACCAGTGAGCAACAAGCAGGGACATCTATCACTCACAGAGTTAGCAATCCAAACCATGAAAGTGAGCCATGTAGGAAGTCAGAATCCAAGCAAACATATTGATAGAGGCTGCAGACCAAGGCTTTGATATCTAGGAAGGTAGATTGTGGTAGAGGGGGTGAGACAGAAGAGACATGAGAGACAGAGTGGGTAGGGTAAGACAGGTGGAAACGGAGATGGGGAGAGTGGGACAGGAAAGAACTAAGAGACAGGGGTGAGAATGGGGGCAAATAAAGCAAATTGAGATATAATAACAATTGAGCAAGTTAGTCCTACATCAGGATGAAAATATTGTGCCTCAAATTTCCTCAGTTATGTTTTCACATGAATTCATTTCATTAATTATACAATTTTTATCAAGATTATATCAATAATTAGTTTATTCTGTGCCATAATGTAACCTTTTATATGTCTACAAATGTAGAAATGTAAGAACCATTAGTTTTACAATTTCTAATACATATTCATTCATTGCCAGGTTATTGAGTCACAATCATAGAATCATACAGCATGGAAACAGACCCTTCAGTCCAACTCGCCCACCCCAACCATGTTCCCAAACTAACTAGTCCCACCTGCCTGCGTTGGGCCCATATTCCTCCAAACCTTTCCTATCCATGTGTCATGAGAGAATTTTGTCCAAAGTCAAATGTAGCGTTCCCAGCTCAGAACCTGTACAGTAAAACTGACATGAAAATATACAGGTATATCTGTTTATGACTGGGTGAACAATCTTACAACAACCATTAAAGTAATACACAAAGTGATCCTAATGTTATTGTAGCAGGTGAAGAGTCAGGCACCTATTGGCAGTTGTTACAGTGAAATTGAGGCCCAGTAAACTCTACTGGGATTCTACTGGCTTTCCTCTGTAACCCCAACAGTAGCTCCAAGGGACCTGGCCACACTTTGGTATTCTGCAAGTGACTGGGAGCTAAACCTTCATCCACATGGACCACACGAATAGCTGCAAATTCCCTGTCCAGCTGTGGCAGTGCTGGTTGATCAACCAGTGAAACGGACGCACATAGTGGCCTGGCTAATGATGTATGTACACCTTACGAGGCCCATCCAGACTTCAAAAATGGTCTAATTAGAAGGATGTTGGGATCCAACGGGACATTGGGCAGCCTACTCGCTCTGATATGGGGATAGGAAATGGAATTTCTGCCAACAATATCATAAAGTGCTTCACAAGTGAATTCTCCCATTGGCTTCATAGATGAGGCACCCTCCCACTGACCCCAACAGACTGGTGACAGTCCACAATGGTATAAGTGGGTTCAGTTCCAACTTAGCCGCTAGAATTGATGTCCATGGAATTTCAAGGCCATGGTATTATTGTTGCAGGGCACTGGGAGAAGAGATAAAGAAATTTTGTTCTGTCACCCAATTATATCTTTTGTGTTGGCTACATTCCCTTTTCCTCAATGATATAAAACCTAGAAGTTGATGTATTCTGTCCCATAATTGTTGTAACTTTGTGTTAGAAAACTTCTGAGAACAAAATTCATCAAGTGTTTGCTTTGAATAATGATACTGCTATTTTGAAAACCATTCTGCACCTGATGTTGATAAAACAATATCTGCTTCTACAACTTCACATCTGACTATGGAGGCCTGATAGGCATCTACATCTCTGCTGGGTCATACTACAATGTAACTGGCAATTACATCCTTGAAATTGTGAATGCAATGGAGCTCAGAGGTCTGGCAATAATCTCACTTGCAAATATTTTGTGGATTTCTATTTATCTTGATCTAGAAATACTGCTTTGGAGAAAAATTACTTGCGGGGGAACATTTTCAGCTTTTGAGGCTTCCTTTGATTGCAATGGTATTCTCTTCTCCCTCAAAGAGTTACTTCTAAAATTAACATACAAAGACATGTCAACAGTGCATCTGTAAACAGTATGTATAATTAAGAAGTCCACAGGATTCCTAGATATTTCTGTCAACATTTCTGTGCCCTTTACAAATGTGTTCCTCGCATAGTTTCAGACTTAAATTCATGGTCTGTCCTGTACAGAATCTGTTTGAAAATAATTTTATGGAAGGTGTTGCGAAATTCTTGAATCTTGTAGGCATAGATAATCGGATTCCCAACAGAGTTAGCATGAGACAGAACGATGGCAGCGTTCATGATACGCGTATCCATTGTTTGGAAGTACTTTGGGTGAAAATGATTGATACAGTTTAGGATGTGAAGTGGAAGCCAGCACAAGGCAAAGAATCCAACAATGATGGACAATGATTTTGCAACTCTTACTTGGTTCTGTAAATACCTTCTGGAAGTCTCAGAATTTACAGAATTCAGCTCGATCTTTTGCAACTGCTTTCTAGCAACAGTGAAGATTTTTAGATAAATGCCCAGCATGATAAGCAATGGTGTCAGGACACAGCCCAGGAAGTTGAAGTAAACCATATATTTCATATTGACTACATTTAGAAAGAGGCATTCCACCGAGCAGTTCTGGAGGACAGAGTTGTTCTCTGGCCGTGGTGTCCTCATTGTGCCGTTTCTGCACTCTACCTCATTCCTCTGGTTCCAGCCAAAAAATGGAGTCAAACCAATCACAAAAGACAGGATCCAAAAGACTCCTATAATCAGCCTGGCACGTCTTCCAGTTATCAGCCCGTTGTATCTGTGTCAACCAGAAAAAAATACCATCAGGAAACAGATAATAACACCAATTGTCTTCAAACAGTTCCTGTATTTGCCGTTGGGAAATGCAACATGTTTTCCCAAGATTACATTTTCATCTTCCAAAAGTGGAAATAGATGGGAAGGAACAGAGGGAGAGAGTCACTTAACTCAACATGAATAACCTGTTAAAATGTTTCAATTCTTTTAAAATTCCAAACACTTGAAATGTGGGATTGGACAAGACCAGAAATCAACAATCAACCTGCAGCACAAGGTCAAAAATAATCAAATTCTTTACATGTCCTAAAAGTATTTTCTAAGTACTAAGCTGTCCCGTCTGAGTTTCACAAGATGGTTAAATCTGATGGAGAAATAGCAATGAAATTTATTGCAAACATTTGAAAAACTATGTAACTTGGAAGGAACAATAAAGACTGGAAACTACAAACTAAACAATGGAAACCTATCTGCCCGGACCTGATCTGACAGCACCTTGTTGGTTTATTTTTCACCTTCTCTTCCAGTTTTGTTTCTATTTCAATTTCCAAATCATTAATCAACCATTAATGAAAATCTCTGTGTTGTCCCTTGGGATTCTGCATTAGTCACTTCCATGGTCCTATATCAGACTACCTTCTGCAGCTGGATTCCAATCTTCAACAGCTTGTGTAGTGACACTTTTTATACCTTATGTCCTAGCCTTCTATGTAGCATGCTGCCAAAACTTGGTAAAAGACTGGGAGCTGCCTCTTTCACAATCTCTAATACTTTCTGAAAAAAATCACAACTGGGTTGTCTACTATGACCTTCTGCAATGCTCATTTGGCTTCAATGGTCACCTTTCTACAGAATAGTCTCCAACAATTTACCCACCACAGGGTGGAACAGGATCGTCAGTCAGGGCAGGCCTTTCCAAATTGTAGTTAAGAAGATCATCTCACTGCCCTTTCTCTTTAATAATTCAGTAAAACTGTTTCTGATAATTCTCTAACGTTCCCACCAAAACATGACCAATTACCTATTTCTAGAAACATCGTAGTGAGTAGGGACTTCTCCATCTGGAGAGAAAAAGGCTGAAAGATCTGTTTGAGGTTTTCAAAATCGTCAATGGTTGCTCAGAGTAAATACGGTGGTGCTGTTTCAGCTTGTATAATAAACAAGAACAAGACAGCAGATATTTAAAGTAATCTGCAAACTAAACAAGGGTGATTTGTTTTTTTTCTTCATTCACAGGGTGTGGGTATCTCCCAGGCCTATATTTAATACCCATCCCTAATTACCTCCCAGAGTGCAGATAAGAATCAACCACATTGCTGTGGATCTGGAGTCAGACCAGCTAAGGATGACAGTTCCCTTCCATACAGGGTTTTTAACAACAATTGACAAAAGATTTTTTTTACTGAATTCAAATTTCACTGCCTGCCTTTATGGAATTCAAACCCACCTCTAGAATAGTAGTCCCATGACATTATTGTAGATCACCACCTCCCCATTTTCTGCTGACTCCAACTTCATAACTCTGAAAAGCTTCTTCCAGACACTATCCTAAATCTCTTACACTTACTCTTGTATCTATAGATACTAACTCAACCATCTGTTTATCCTCCTACCATTTTTCTTACAGTCTGGAATTCAAATCTACACAAAGGTTAACAATTACATCTCAATGTTTCCACTCTAAGCCTTTTTGGTAAAAGCTATCATTCCTTCCATCTATCCTTTCTAGGGATTGTGGAACATGCTTTCACATGGTGCAGTGTGGCAACCTCATTTAAGAGGAAGCTGCCTAATGACATGGGGTAGGAAGGAATTGAACAATCTGCTGATTGGGTGGGAAGAGACTCATGTAGAGCAAAGGCTGTTTGGGCTCAATGGCCTGTTTCTGTCCTTTATGTTCTATTCACCTTTTTTTAATGGTCTCAATTACTTAAGATGCTGCTTTCAATGTTTTTCTAACCCATTCTAACTGTGCCTGCTCTTCCATGTCACCCAGTCTTCCTCCATTCATAGTATAACTATGACTTTGCTTATTCTGAACATAATCACTTCTATTTTTCAGTGTACATTTGGACACTGCTCCATCTAGTTCTGTTACAACAACTTTGAGATGAATTAATAGCCTTTCATGTGAAACCTTGTTGAATGCCATTGAGAAGTATCGGTCAGCAGTTGTACAGTTCCACAGTTCATTCCAGTTGTCACTTGCTCAAAGGAGTCAAGGACATTTGTTAGACACATCGCCTTTATCCCAGACATTAAGACAATTACTTATTGAATACATGTACATCACTTCAAATTGACACGTGACAATTCTTAGAATCATAGAATCCCTACAGTGTGAAAGCAGGCCATTCAGCCCATCAAGTCCACAGCAATCTACCACCCAGACACAATCCCCTACCCTATCCCTGTAACCCTGCATTTCCCACGGCTAACCCACCTAGGCTGTACATCCCTGGACACTATGGGTAATTTAGCACGGCCAATTCACCCTAACCTGCATATCTTTGGACTATGGGAGGAAATTGGAGCACCCAGAGGAAACCCACACAGACACATGGTAAAATTTGCAAACTCCACACAGACATTTGCCTGAGGGTAGGATTTAACCCAGGCGCCTGGCGCTGTGAGGCAGCAGTGCTAACTGCTGAACCACTCTGTCACCCTAATTAATTCCATTATTTTGGACAGAGGAGAAATAAGTGAATGGGTCTGTAGTTGTCTCTTTAAAATAGCCCCTTATTAGTCCATTGTCTGATTGCACAGGTGAAACAAAGTGTCCTTCTGAGTAACCCAGAACATAACTTCTCAAAATTCACTGTCAATATTAGTAACATGGGCAAATATCCTTATCTAATTTTTTTTGTGCAACTGAATATTCTGCTCATTGGTGACCATGTCCGAACAAAGCACTTCCAAAGTAGGGACTAAATGCAGAATACAGTTCCCTCTACACTATCCCCATCAAACAATCCCAGGACCTGTATAGCATGGGGTTAGGTACAGAGGAAAGTTCCCTCCATTCTTTTCAACTAAATGTAAAGGTCTCACTGCACTGTCCCCATCAAACACGCACAGGACAGGGACAGCGTGGTGTTAAATACAAAATAAAGCTTCCTTTAATCTTTGAAACTGGAAGTGAATGTGGATAAGGTGGTCCAGAAGGCATACAGGATGCTTACCTTCATCAGCCAGGACACTGAATATAAAAGTTGGCAAGTCATGTGACAGCTGAACAAAAAACTTTAGTTAGGCCACATTTGGAACAATGCGTGTTGTTCTGGTCGCCATGCGACCTGATGGATGTGGATGCTTTGGACAGGGTGCAGAGAAAGTTTACCAGAATGGATGAGGGTAAAGCGGTTGATGTGGTGTATTTGGATTTCAGTAAAGCGTTTGATAAGGTTCCCCATGGTAGGCTATTGCAGAAAATACGGAGGCATGGGATTGAGGCTGATTTAGCGGTTTGGATCAGAAATTGGCTAGCTGTAAGAAGACAGAGGGTGGTGGTTCATGGGAAATGTTCATCCTGGAGTTCAGTTACTAGTGGTGTACCTCAA